TTCTTTAGTTCTTTGAACATATTTATAATAACAGATTTAAAATTTTTGTGTAGTAAGTCCAACATCTGGACTTCTTCAGGGAATGTGACTGCTTTTTTACCTGTGCATGAGCCATACTTTCCTGTTTCTTTGCATATATTATAATTTTTTGGTTGAAAAATGAATATTTTAATAATATAATGTGGCAACTCTGGATATCAGAGTCCCTTCCATCCCTCATTTCCCAGATTCTCCTTTTAAGTTTTTTAGCCAGTCTCTTGTTCGCCCCAACTATTATCACTGTCTCAGGCAGCTGTGATGTGAACAACTGCCACCAATTGTATTGGACAAAGGTCCCAGGGGACAGGTTTTCTTACTGAGTCAGGTTAAAGGTAAATCCTTTTCTACAGAGCTTGCCGGCAGGTGAAATATTGACAATTCTCTGGGAATGGGACTTTTGGGGGGAGTTCCAAACCTGCTCTGCCCCCTCCAGGGACTGCTAAGCTGTTAATTTTCACAGCTACTGAGTTTATAAGGCTGATGTTTTTCAAGGCTACCATAGAATTGGGAAGAGGGGGATGGGAATAGGGCAAGTTGGAACACCATGCAGAGCAGCCATTTTCATTGAATAAATGTTCCTCAGATTGTTGCAAGCCTTTGGTTAATTTCCAGAATTCAGAAAAAGTTGGTTTCGACCATTTTTGCCAATGTTCTCATTGTGTTTATGAAGGAACAGTTTTCAGAGGTCCTTATTCAGCCATTCCGAAAGTCCCCTTTGCCTTCATTTTAAAGAATTATTGGTTGATTGATTGATGGGATCTTGCTCTGCTGCCCAGGCTGGAGTGCAGTGGCACAATCATAGCTTACAGTAACCTTGAATTTCTGGGCTCAACGAATCCTCCTGCCTCAGCCTCCCAAGTAGCTAGGACTACAGGTGTGCACCACCACACCTGGCTAATTTTTAAAGTTTTTTGTAGAGATAAGGTCTCACTATGTTTCCCAGGTGGGCTTGCCTTCATTTTTGAAAGATATTTTTGTCTGGCATAGAATTCTAGGTTGACAGTTTTTAAATCTACTTTAAAGATGTTGCTCTGTTGCCTTCTTGCTTGCATTTTTTCCAGTGAGCAACCTGTCGTCATGCGTAATTTTGTTCTTCTGCACATACCCCTTTTTTTCCCTGGCCGCTTTTAAGATTTTCTCTTTATTACTGGTTTTGAGCAATTTATGATGTGCCATGGTGTCATCATCATTGTTTCTGTGCTTGGGCACACTGAGCTTCTTGTATCTCTGAATTTATAGTTTTCATCAAGTTTGGAAAGTTTTTGGACATTATTTCTACAAATCTTTTTTCTGTCCCCTTCCTCCCCTCTCCTTCAGGGGCTCCAATTACATATATATATTTGAAATTATCTGACAGCTCACTGATGTTCTTTTTACTTTTTATTTTTTTTTCCTGCCATCTCATTTTGGATAGTTTCTTTTTTATTGACACATAATAGTTGTACATACTCGTACGGTATTTGTGATATTTTGATACATG